TTCAACTTAGTGAAGTCAAATTCTAATCCAGTTTGAATAATACATGTTTAAAACCCTTCAACTTAGTGAAGTCAAATTCTAATCCAGTTTGAATAATACATGTTTAAAACCCTTCAACTTAGTGAAGTCAAAATATAATCCAGTTTGAAATAAACGAAGATACGGGCTTCCCATCCCATGCTTAAGTGATATGGAATAAACTCCTCAGACTCAAATTCCAATATTCGCGCAGCTGATTGAGTCCGAGGGAATAAACCGTTAGCGCCGAGGGCCGTTACCGAGGACCCAACCAGCCGCGCGAAAATTGTGCTTAAACCTAAAATCATACGTATTGGCGCCCTAGTTTCGTAACTCTTACACCCGAACACAGCAATATTAATATTGGCGTCCTACATCTTGGTAGCACGGTATGCACGATACACACCTTATGAACACGCCCAACTGTGCACGAGACAGCATATTGGAGGGGTACAAAACAAACGAAAATATTTTGCTGCATCTATTTTACCAGATGTTTTCAACCATGTCAGGCAAATGGGATCCTTTAGGCGATGTCTTTGTCACTCAAAATACATTTTCCGAAGCTACAACTTTGAATGTGAGTGACATTAATTCAGATTTTGAGGAACTTTTGAATGGAAGTATTTCGAGTGTCAGTTTTGATATCACTCTGCAAGGGGACAAAAATCATGTAGATACAGTTAGGAATAGTTCTTCGGATGAGGAATTGCTGCGTGATTCGCAAAACCTAGAACAGGAATTTGACCAAATGATTAGTTCAGCAGATGATGAACTGATGCTTGCTTCTCAGCAGATAGAAAAAGAAAATGATCAAACAACTACCAAACGTTTTGGCAAACCCCTCTCAGTTTCTGAATATCAAAACTTGGAAAATCTTGCAAAAAATATACATACAGAAAAGAAAAGCCAGTGGGCAGTGCGGATTTTCGATACATGGCAACGTGAAAGGGATGGGTTTGAATCCGAGTTAGGCAGCAAATTATTAAGTCTTTCTGATGAGGATCTGAATAGAACGCTGAGTCTATTTGTCACAGAAGTAAGGAACCAAAGGGGAGGTCAATACAACGCTAACACAATTCATGAGATTCTTATTTCGATGCAGAGATTCATGCGCCAAAGTGGTCGAGATGTTAACCTAACCACCGTTTTTGCTTTTATTGGTTTGAGAACCATTCTTGATGCTAAAATGAAATCACTGGCCCAGGCTGGTATTGGCATGCACAGAAGGCGAGCTAACGTCATCACACCACAGGAGGAGGATGCGTTGTGGGAGAGGGGTTTGCTTGGGGATGACACTCCGGAGAAATTGCTTGAAACCGTTTTTTATTTGAATGGGATAAACTTTTGTTTACGAGGTGGGGAGGAACATCGTCCTCTAAAAGTAGGTGAATTTTCAAACTTCTATGTTGTTACAAGAAACAACAAAAACAATTGGTATACTCTGAAGGGGTTTCCAAAACGAATTCAGGCGGGCTGAAACATAAAAGATTGTCTGCTAAGGTCATTTCAGTGGATATTAATGAAGAGAACCCTGCCGTTGTCCAGTTAGACTTCACCAAAAGTACATGTCACTGAGGTGAGTGAATAATTTAGTGATTACTGAAAATCTTAAAATTGAAAAAAATGTGAAATTCATATCGTTTTTTAAAAAAATAGCTTTTTATACAAAAAAACCCCATGGCGACGGCTACAGTGAAGCTTGTATGCAATGTATGTACCACTTGATTGCAGGCCAGTGGGTTGTGATGACTTTTACCTTCGTCCACTCAAGTATCCTAAGCCTAACCAGTGGTACTCTGCCGCTCCTATAGGGAGACACGTTCTGTCTGGGGTGGTCAAGAGGCTCTGCGCCAGGGCCGGGTTTGAAGGATTATATACAAACCACGCCCTAAGGGCTACAACGGCCACACGCCTGTATGAGAGCGGTTTGGATGAGCAGCTGATTGCCGAAAGGACAGGTCACAGATCGACAGCTATTCGTGCGTAAGTATAGGTGTAATTGCATTTGAAATAATCACATACTGAACAACAGGTTGATTTGATGACAAATGGGCACTGGTACAATGGGACATATGTGCACTGTATTTAAGGATTATTAATCACGTCTAAGGGCGGTGAGGTAGCCTAGTGGTTATAGTGCCTGCGGTGCGGGTTCGATTCCACACACAGGCACAATGTGTAAAGCCCATGCTTTGTGTCCCCTGCCGTCATAGTGCTGGAATATTTGCTGAAGGATGAGTAAAGCCAAACTCACTCGCTATCAATCACTCGTAAAATGTATATCAAAATATTAGTGAGGGAGTAACATGTACTGAATAATTATGTGCTATATGCAATACAGGTACAAGAGAACAAGCGAGGGCATGTTAAAGATTGTTGATGATGTTGTCCAGAGGAAAACACCAGCAACTGCCACATCGGCAACTAGCTCGCCAACACCTCACGTCTCCGACACCACTGACCCCAAGAGACGTCAAGACGCCAACGGTTCAAATGCTAAAACTGTACACTTCGTTGTTGAACGCGACGGTGCAAGAGTGACATTTGACATGTAATAAAGGGATGAAAACATTGTGATATTTCGTTTCTATATTTTGGTAATGGCTGACTGACTGAGTTTAGTTTTACGCCGCTTTCAGCAATATCCCAGCAATATCACGGCGGGGGACATCAGAAGTGGGCTTCACACAATGTACCCATGTGGGGAATCGAACCCGGGTCTTCGGTATGACGAGCCAAACGCTTTAACCACTAGGCTACCCCACCGCCCTATTTCTGTAATGTGGGTATTACTGTTTGAATTCAGCGTTTGGACCGGGTCGGTAATAGGGCGCCAATATTTGAAAGTAGGGCGCCAATACACCAGATAAAGTCGCCAATATACGAAGCTAAGTTGCCAATAAACGAAAGATACAGGCTTCCAATCCCATGCTTATTGGAGTGATATGTTGTGTATTTTAATACATGTTTAAAACCCTTCAACTTAGTGAAGTCAACTTATAATCCAGTTTGAATAATACATGTTTAAAACCCTTCAACTTAGTTGAAGTCAACTTATAATCCAGTTTGAATAATACATGTTTAAAACCCTTCAACTTAGTGAAGTCAAATTATAATCCAGTTTGCGATATTGAAAAGGAATCTGATAACAAACTCAACAACTAGTCTATCATTTCATCTTGAAATAATATATTTGACATAGTTCCATAGTAGGCTATTCTTGCTTTGTGACAGAGTTGCTTGAAAGTTCAAGCCATTACTTCAGTGTTTCAGTGAACGCTACGACAGTTTCATCAATTCCTTGAGGATGGGTGAGGTGAGGTGAAATTGGGTTTAACGTCTTTTGGTATGACGCGGTCGGGGATCGAACCCGCGACCTTCCGCTCTCCGGGCGGACGCTCTAACCACTACACCACGGAGGCGGTCCTTGAGGATGGGGGGTTGGTTGGTAGCCTATTGGTTAAAGCGTTAAGTCGTCACACCAAAGACCCGGGTACTATTCCCCAAATGGGTAAAATGTGCTAAACCTCTTTTCGGTCACCGCAGTAGTGATATGCCTGGAATATTGATAACTAAACACATTCACTCACTCCTCAGGGTGTATTATTACTTTGAGAGCTTTCGTTAAAAACCCCATGTAAGAACAACACTGTACACCACGGTTTACTTCCCACACTACCAGGACGGTGAGTAGCCTGTGTTTAGATGAGATACCCTCGGGCTCAAGGAAATTGTTCTGTGAAATAGATATAACTTCACTCTTCAGGTCTTAAATGTTTCAATTTTAGGATACTTTTTAAGGTAATTCTAGGGGAAAACATGACGGATCACGGATCTTTATGTGCAAATACATTGATTCAGAAACGACCTGTCACCATTTGCGGAAGTTTGTATGTGTAATGAGATGACAAATCTCGGGATTGAGTTTAGTTTTACGCCACACTCATCAATATTTCAGCTATATGGCGGCGGTCTGTAAATAATCGAGTCTGGACCAGACAATCCAGTGATAACAGCATGAGGATCGGGAGAGAAGTGTACAAACAGGTTGTCACAGCTTTCCGCACAGAGTTACTTCCCTTTGACCACAGTGCTTCGAAACAATCTAAAGGTTCTCACAATCAAGTGAGTCAGTATGGGTTTACCCGTTTTTAGCAATATTCCAGCAATATCACGGCGGGGACACAGGCAATGGGCTTCACACATTGTATCCATGTGGGGATCGAGCCCGGGTCTTCAGCGTGACGAGCGAACGCTGAATCCACCCAAACGCCCCACAATCAAGTCGGAGACATATATAGTGTATGTTGCGCTCTGATGTCGTTGATATAACTCTTTATACTTGCTCTTGCAATTGTTAGTGCATTTTTTGCGCTGCAGAATAAATAAGTTGTCATTAAACACATGCAGAAACTACGGTCAATGCTTTTCTTTCTTCAATACCGTTTCTGTAGTGTTAGAACAGATATTTGAAATCTGCCATTTCTGCTTCACTAAATCCAATAGTTGTTCAAGTGTAGATTTGAAACACTTCTTACAGACAACAAAACCCAGCTATAATTATAAAAACAAAATATTCTGCGAACTTGATCGTATTTCGGAAAATGCGCCTCGCCATGTACACGGCGACATTCTATGTCCGCTTCAATCACTTTCACCACGTCTCTTCACTGACATCAAATGTGACGAATGTGGATTCACAACTACAATAATTGATCACAACTGTTCATGTTGGGATTTAAAACATTTACATTACAGAGTAGAAACTAAACATGTCAATAAAATCATGATTTGAAACAACTTTAGATGAATTTGTAGATTCAGTTATTTGTAGTGACATTTCCCAGACGTGTATGAAATGTATGATAAACTGGTCAACTACTGCAAAATAATAATCATAACAATAGTCATGTGTGGATGTAAAATGTTTGTAACATCCTCCTGAATCCAGTCAAGTAGAAAAACAACACATTCAGCTGACCTCGTTACATTCTTGTACACAACAAACAGCACATAGACAGACAACTTATACGTCCGCCTCAATCACTACAATTACATTTGACAGTTTAAATAAATAAATCACACTTACAAGTTTACACAATGTCATGTGTATTTTATTGTCTAATTCAAGGCGTCATAAATAAGTGACTTCTTGGTGTCAGTCATGGTGATATCTGCCCCACTTATCACCTTCATGTTGACTGTGTAGCGATCTGACCGCCCAACACTAAATATGGGAAGAAGAGACTCGCTCCACTCACCATCCACCTTGGCTAAAACAACCTCTCTGTCGAGGTCTATGAAGGCGAGTCTCCCCCTCCCCACATCCAGCACAACGCCATAGTGGAGGGTGGCCTGTGTGCCGGGTGTGGCAGACATTGTGTTACTGTAACACTTCCCCTCCTTCCCCTGCTGCCACACCCTGGTACAGAGACTCCCCTGGTGTGTGTTACATCTCCCTACACCGACACACCAGGAGCGGCGCTGGTCACAAACAAACTCCTCACTGTCTACCTGGCTCTCCTCTATCACACCCATCTCCAGGACAAGATACCGCCACAACCCTCCATACACCACACCCACCCTAGAGTGTGTCTCCCAGTATCGTGGTGTGTGTGGGACAGGGGTGACAGTAGAGGGGGATGGAGGAAGGGGGATGGGGGTGAAGGCACATGTACCCCGATATCCCCGTAACCTGCGGCTGTGTCTGTGTTGTGTGGCGGGTGGCGAGTTCACCAGCTCACCGCCTGTAGTTACGTGGCACATGTCTGTGTTGGCTCGAGCAGCGTCCATTTGTAGTTTAGGACCTGGAAAAATACATGTTGTTTACAGATTAACAAATTTCCCGACTTCAGACAACAAATAAGACATTTTATTGTCAACCTCGTTTCAATGTTTACAAAACAGCGCACTTAATATCGGCTGCCATTTTCGTCTGTGTGTGAAATGTGTCATAATTGTGCTTTAAATAGAAATTATAAAGCTGTAAAAACATTTGTATGGGTATTCTAAATGTTTTTTATACATTTTTACATTGATTGACAATGAAATAAACACTCCATAAAACATTTCGTCAGAAATTGTTAGTTGAGCTGGTTAGCTGTCAGTAGTCAGAAATAGACACTTGCCGCCTGAAAACACATATATATAAACTTCATATCATGATAAAACTATCATTGTTAGTATTCTAAACTCATCTTATACGATTTACTAAATAATAAGACCGAAAAGTTAGTTGTTTGACGACATTTTTACATCTGAGTGTTCAACAGACACATTGTCGACAGGTAACTTCTACGTCCGCTTCATTCACTGACTACAGTTTGAGCACACTCGCTGGGCGGGGAGGTTGTCGTGTTTTGTGTATCAACTGTGATATGTACTCTCACATATTCTGTATCGACTGTGATATGTACTCTCACATTTTATTATTTTATTACACAGTTCTCAGACTTGCAATTTTCAGATAGCATTACCCTTTTCGTTACAGATTCACCAAGAAATATAACAGGACAGAGAACCTGGAAGACAGCCTACCTTATCGTTCATTCATACATGTTTTGACTAATATGGTAATGGGTAAAAATTAATCTTTAACGATGTCATATGAATCCTATTTCCTAACACTCCTTATATTTTGTCCTCATACATAAATGGGGTAAAACACGTTAACTCAATCTAGTAAATATTCAATTAACATAAAATCTTCAATTTTCATCTTTGAATAATGATCAAGCACTTTCAGTACTGTTACTCCTCAGTAAACTGTATTATCAGCCTCCTTGCTGAGCGGAGCAATATAACTCCGTGGATGTAATATGCTGCTTCAATATAATATTCATTGCAGCACATCATTTTTGCATTTTATTGTTATAATTCTAGGCTTTCATCTTACACAATTCATCGGCATTAAACAAACTGACACTAGCAATTGGTAGTTAATTTTATGATGTACAATAGACATTATAAGATAAGCTGTTTGTTTAATTTGTTAAAGGTAATGAAAGGAATTTTCTGGGCCTAGCCGTTAGTTTAGACAACGGTGGAACAGTTTTAAACTAAACAGAGCCAATTCAGAATGTCATTATTCACCGTGCCGAGAATAGACAGTGAGCTCGAGTATCGCGGGCCAGATAGACCGTCCGGGTGCTTGTAACATGAATCTTCAGTCGTCGTTGAGCAAAATCACGGCTGGTGTTCCTGTTTCATGTTGTTCTCGTTTACTACCAAGTGACGTGAACTGTTGTTATTGTTTTCGATAAAACTCAAATAGAGGAGGATGAGTTTAACTGAATATATAGTTGGCTGGTTGATTGTTGTTTAACGCCGCACTCAGCAATATTCCAGCTATATCGCGGCAGTCTGTAGATAATTGAGTCTGGACCAGGCAATCCAGTGATCAACATTAGGAGCATCGATCTAAGCAATTGGGATACGATGACATGTGTCAACCATGTCATCCGATCCGGCTAGTCGCCTCTCACGACGGCGAGCCCGACCACCCGATCACGTTAGCCGTCTTTTACTACAAGCATGGGTACCTGGAGACCAATTCTAACCAGGATCTTCAAGGGTACGCTGAATATATGACATGTTTATGCTTTTCTAGCCCACAAACGTTTATACGTCCTCCATCGTGCTGGGACGTGCAGTCAGGGCCCCATGTGAGCAGATTCTTATCAACCTGTAGACGGAGACATTATCTATCATTACTCCAAATGTTGGCATCGGCCGCAACGTTCACGCCCACTTCGAAACATGTAAACAAACTTTTCAAATCTTGAAAATGAAATTCAAGTGGGTATTAAATATGGTACATCACTGACAGAGAATATTTGTATACAGCATGTGTGTATGTGATTAACAGAAGAGCTGCTATCTCCTGACCCAAAGATTATTTTATCGAAAGCCACCATGGGGGAGGGTTGTACTCAAGTCAACAAAACTATGTCACACATCTGTGATATGCTATGACCTCATTAGCAATCAACATGCGAAAAGAACAACAGTCTAAGTTAATCCTGGTTAGTAAGATATGTGAATAAAATAAAATAAAATACTTTGAATTATTTGATGACCAGTGATCGATGTTATGAGTTACTCTAAGCTAGGTCGGTGACTCCTTACACATTTTTCATATGACATTTGACCACAATCAAGGTTAGATATTGCGACTTAGATATATATTATTTCTGGTAATTTGTTAAAATAAAACTGCCGACAACTAACGACGTATGTATCACGAAATATGGTGCAGCTTTTATCTCAAGTGGAAAAAGCTCAACCTTTGAAAATATCTCCTTTTTTCCACGTCATTTAATCTGAGATACATCTTAATTCACGAAACACTCAATATAATCTCTACATAGTGGGGCGATGAGGTAGCTTAGTAGTTAAAGCGTTCGCTCGTCACGCCGAGGACCCGGGTTCTATTCCTCACATGGGTACAATGTGTGAAGCCCATTTGTGGTGTCCCCTGCCGTCAAGTTCCTGGAATATTGCTAAAAGCGGCGTACAAACTTACTCACTCGCTCAATCTCTAAATAGCAAATAAAACTCGAAATAGATCGGCAGTTCCGAATGTAAACATTCGTCCGTGTTTCTGTCACCTGAATGACTAATTGATTGACGATATATACTGGATTGTGAGGGGCGGCCATTGTTTCGTAAGAGTATAAACAAGAGATCCGGCTCACCTTCTCACGTGCATCAACTCACATGTATTAATGATCATCCAACAGTGAATGCTCATTTCTGTGTCCTTCACATGAGTGAGTGAGTGAGTTTAGTTTTACGCCGCACTCAGCAACATTTCAGCTATAGGGCGGGGATCTGTAAATAATCGAGTCTGGACCCCTTCACATGACTTCAAGAAATATGAACTCAATCATCTAATGGAAACATTAGTGAAAAATTCGAAAGCAAATGCCAAAAGTGATAATGGTCATCTATCATTCCTGTACCTGATGTCTAAGAATAAGTCATAATAGAGTATACCTAGAACCACGTCCAAGAAGTGAGGATACTTCTATAAACCCAGTGAAACGTCATATTTTTAAATAACTGTGAGTATTTCTACAAACCCAGTACCACGTCCGTTTATAAATCTGAGAACACCGATATACACCGTGTCTTGTGTTCAAAGGGCGGTGGTGTGGTCCAGTGGTTCGCCCGTCACGCCGACGGCCCAGGTTCGATTCCCCACATGGGTACAATATGTGTAGTTCATTCCTCCCGGCTGCCGCCATGGTACCACTGAATCTTGTGTTCAAGGAACAGACAATTATACCACAGCAGTGGGGTGAGGAGGTTCTGCGTTTCAACTACGTATAACATAACCACATCTATTACAATATCAGACATCCCGTGTACAGCATCCCGTGTTGTTTAGGAGGAGCTATGTATAAGATAACCACATCTATTACAATATCAGACTTAAGAGAAACAAAAAAGCCCTAAATACAGTGTGGAAGGGATTCAGCAGCAGCGGGTACATCATCTTGTGTACAGCACGCCCAGTACATCATCCCGTGTACAGCACGCCTAGTACATTATCCCGTGGACAGCACGCCCAGTATATCATCCTGTGTACAGCACACCCAGTACATCATCCCGTGTACAGCACGCCAAGTACATCATCCCGTGTACAGCACGCTCAGTACATCATCCCGTTTACAGCACGCCCAGTACATCATCCCGTGTACAGCATCCCGTGTACAGCATCCCGTGTACATCACGCCCAGTACAGCATCGTGTGTACGGCATCCCGTGTACAGCACGCCCAGTACATCATCCCGTGTACAGCACACCCAGTACATCATCCCGTGTACAGCACGCCCAGTACATCATCCCGTGAATAGCACGCCCAGTACATCATCTCTTGTACATCATCCCATTTGCAGCACGCCCAGTACAGCATCGTGTGTACGGCATAACGTGTACAGCACGCCCAGTACATCATCCCCTGTAAAGCACGCCAAGGACAGCATCCCGTATACAGCACGCCCAGTACAGCATCCCGTGTACAGCACGCCCAGTACATCATCCCCTGTACTTCATCCCGTGTACAGCACGCCAAGTACATCATCCCCTGTACTTCATCTCGTGTAGAGCACGCCCAGTACATCATCCCGTGTACAGTACGCCCAGTACATCATCCCGTGTATAGCACGCGCAGTACATTACCCCGTGTACAGCAAGCCCAGTACAGCATCCGGTGTTCAGCACGCCCAGTACAGCATCCCGTGTACTGCACGCACAGTACAGTATCCCGTGTATAGCACGCGTAGTACATCATTCCGTGTACAGCACGCCCAGTACAGCATCCAGTGTATAGCACGCCCAGTACAGCATCCCGTGTACAGCACGCCCAGTACATCATCGTGTGTATAGCACGCCCAGTACAGCATTCCGTGTACATTATCCCGTGTACATCATCCCGTTTACAGCACGCTCGCAGTACAGCATCGTGTGTACGGCATACCTGTGTACAGCACGCCCAGTACAGCATCCCGTGTACAGCACGCCCAGTACATCATCCCGTGTACAGCACGCCCAGTACATCATCCCGTGAATAGCACGCCCAGTACAGCATCCCGTGTAGAACACGCCCAGTACATCATCCCGTGAAATGCACGCACAGTACAGCATCCCGTGTACAGCACGCCCAGTACAGCATCGTGTGTACGGCATCCCGTGTACAGCACACCCAGTACAGCATCCCGTCTACAGCGTGCACAGTACAGCATCGTGTGTACGGCATCCCGTGTACAGTACAACCAGTAGAGCATCCAGAGTACAGCATGCC